TCAGAGGGGCTTTAATGCTTTAGAGTTCACCTAGCAAAAAAGTTTGGAAACGAATGGTATCAGACACAATTCAATGCAACAAGGACTGACCGAGGCGTGGAGCCTGGACACTGAATGACTCAAGTATATGGGGAGTAGCAAGTAGGCCAATATGAGAAGAGCTAGGGTCAGCAACATGAGATCAGCAGTTTAGAAAGCTAGACTGAAACTTGTTTGCAACTGAAAAAAAAGAGGGTCTAAATGACAGCCCTGAAGTACAGCTGTACAAGGAAGGGCAGAACACGGATGACGATCCACGTAAGAAGCCAAAAAGCAATGAGAGAATGGGGAAAGTTCAGGGTCATGAAAACTCATGCAGAAGAAGGCATCGCCTAGGAGGAGAGAGTAGTAAACAGTGCCAAGAGCAGCAGAGACATCAAGAAGGACGATGACACAGAAAAAGCCACTGGATTTGGCAATCTGAAGATTGCTGTTAATCCTGGGGAGAGTGGTTCCAGTAGAAGGTGGGACCAAGAATCAGAACGCCAGTGAATAGAAGGCGAGAAAGGGATGGTATCGGATACAGACAGCTTTTTCTAGAAGTCTGGCAGTATAAAAGGACTAAGAAGTTTAGGATGATAGTTTGAGGGGATGCCAGGTTCAAGGAAAGGTTGCTTTTTTTTTTTAATGATGGGGGAGATATACCAACAAAGTCCAGCAGCAAGAGATAGAAACAGAAATTACATTTAAAATAACTGTGGACAATATAAAATACTTGGGAGTCTATCTGTCAAGGCAAACCCAGGAACTATATGAACATAATTACAAAACACTCTTCACACAGATAAAGTCAGATCTAAACAACTGAAATATATTAATTGTTCATGGGTAGGCCTAGCCAATATAATCAAAATGACAATTCTACCTAAATTAATTTACTTATTCAGTGCCATACCAATCAGACTACCAAAATTTTTTTATAGAGCTAAAAGAAATAATAACAAAATTCATCTGGAAGAACAAAAGGTCAAGAATATAAAGAGAATCAATGAAAAAATGTGAAGGAAGGTGGTCTAGCTGTACCAGATCTCAAACTGTATTATAAAGTGCTAATCATCAAAACAATCTGGTACTGGTTAAGAAATGGAGTGGTGGATCAGTGGAACAGATGACCATGGTAATCTAGTATATGATAAACCCAAATATCCAAGCCTTTGGGACAAAAACTCATTGTTTGATAACTGCTGGGAAAACTGAAAAATAATATAGCAGAAACTAGGCATAGACCAACATCTCACACCACATAAGGTAAAAATGGGCATAATTTACACATAAAAGGTGATACTATAAGCAAATTAGGAGAGCATGGAATAGTTTACCTATCAGATCTATGAATAAGAGAAGAATTTAGGATCAGACAAGATAGAGTACTACAAAATGCAAAACAGATAATTTTGATTATATAAAATTTAAAAGTTTTTGCACAAACAAAACCAGTGAAACCAAAATTAGAAGGAAAGCAGAAAATGAGAAAAAATTTTTTTAACAAGTTATCTTTGAGAAAGGCCTTATTTCTCACATATACATAGAGAACTGAGTCAAATTTATAAGAATACAAGTCATTCCCCAATTGATAAATGGTCAAAGTATATGAACAGGCAGTTTTCAGAAGAAGTCAAAGCTCTAGTCCTATGGAAAAAATGCTCTAAATCATTATTCATTAGAGAAATGCAAATTAAAACAACTCTGAGGTACCACCTCATACCTATTAGATTGGTTTATTGACAAAAAAGGAAAATGATAAATGCTGGAGAGGATGTGGAAAAGCAGGAACACTAATGCACGGTTGGTGGGGTTGTAAACTGGTCCAACCATTCTGGAGAACAATTTGGAACCATCCCAAAGGGCTATAAAACTCTGCATACTCTTTGATTCAGTAATACCACTGCTAGGTCTGTATCCCAAAGAGAGATTAAGAAAAAGGAAAAGGATTTATTTGTACAAAAATATTTGTAGCAGTTAGTTTTGTGGTGAATGAGAATTGGAAATCAAGGAGATGGCCACCAACTGGGGAATGGTTGAACAAGTTGTAGTATATGATTGTGATGGAGTATTACTGTTTGCTAAGATATAATAAGCAAGATGATTTTAGACTTACATGAACTGATGCAAAGTGAAATGAGCAGAACAAGAATGTTGTGCACAGTAACAGCAACACTGTTTGATAAAGAACTGTGAATGACTCAGTTATTCTCAACAACACAATGATCCAAGACAATCCCAAAGGACTCATGATGCTATAAACTTCCAGAGAAAGAACTAATATTGTCTGAATACAGAAAGCATACCATTTTTCTCTTTTTTTCCTCTCTTTGAGTCTTTTTGTACAAAATGACCAATATGGAAATGTTTTACAAATTTGCACATGTGCAAAACATATTGGATTGCTTACCATCTTAGGGAAGGTGGAGGGGAGGGAGGGATAGAATTTAGAACTCAAAACTTTTTTTAAAAAAACCCACAAATGTTAAAAATTGTTTTAATACGTAATTAGGGGAAAAATAAAATATTACTTTAAAAAAAGAATGGGGAAGATGTGAGCAAACAGGGAAGGAACCAGTATGTAAAGATGGGAGATGACTGATTAAAGGGCATAGAAAAAGAGTGAAAAAAGAGGGCTTTGAAAATTGTTAAAAGATACTACAAACACAAATTAGAAGTTGAAAGGAAAAAACAGAGCAACTATATAGATTTGATTCACAGTTGGAGTTGTAAATAGTTCAAATCAAAGTATACGATCTTTTCCCTTTTTTTGGAACTATCTTAAAAAACAATCCCCGAGTATCTTAAAATTATGTTGCTTCTAGCATGCATATTTTTGGTATATATATCTGGTTTAGGTCCAGCTATTATTTCCAGTTTTGCCTTCTTAAATTCAACTATTACTTTTTCACACAGTCTCTCAGGTTCAGAAGTGGCAGGATCCATATGTGGCAGTTCCAGTATTGCTGCTGATGAAAAAGATTGCTACAGAAACAGGAGCCGATCTTTTTCATTTCATTCCTACTTATTATCTTCTTTACAGGTTCACCTGCAAATGGTCTCAGGAGCATCTGGCTTTGCTAACTTTCTTAAAGCTTGTTTTCTTTTAAACCTTTATTACTGTTTTTTGAGGTAATATATGTTTATGATCTTCCATCCTCCTCTGTAATAATGTGCAATTATGCTTGTGCTCTATAAAGGTACTACCTTTAACTGCTAAATATCTCCATTTGGCAAGGAGCAAAGATATCAAGTTTTTGCTGTGTGAGGCAGTTTCTGGGTTCTTTTGGTCTCTTTGCGTTGGCAACTATTTTTCCTTGCTGTCTCTAAGAAATAGTGATAACATTTTAATGACCACTTTCCATTTTTTGGAGTCCACAGCTTAACAAATAGATTGGGTTGGAGCTACCATATTCATGACCAACATCCCCATCTTTGTCGTCTTCTCACTCGACAATGACTTTGACTTCGGTTCTATCAGTAGATGCTGTGATGACTGATGCAGACGCCAAAGGTTTGTTGACCACTCAGAAGCCTTATGCTTATACGTTGTGCTGAATAAATTCTGGTATATGGTTTGACAAGATAGTATTAAGATGTGGTGAGTAGGAATCAGTCAGTAAACACTTATTCAGCCTCCATATGGGGAAACAAAGAAAGATAAAAGACAGTCCCTGTTCTCAAGGAGCTTACAATCTAAGGAGGAGATGACACGTAAACAACGATGCACAAATGAGCTGTATACAGGACCAAGTGGAGATAATCAACAGAGGGAAGCACTAGAATTAAAGGGGATCAGGAAAGCCTTCCTGTAGGAAGGATTTTAGTTGGGACTTGAAGGAATGAAAGATGAAAGATCAAGAGAGATCTCTCTTTCTATCTCTTTATTTCTCTTATATTTTATCTTCCTATTAAAATTTTTTGTTCTGTCCTTGCCTGTCCACTTTGTAAAGAAAATAGAAGAAAAAGTGTCAGGCCCCAGAAGGTGACCTCCATGAGATAATTTTTTTTTTTCTTTTGGCTAAGTCATAGAGTTTCTGTAATCTGCATCTACACGATACTTAAATGCCATCCTGCTGTTTTGTGACAGTTTCTGTGTACCACAAAGAAGTGAGTCCCCACACCAATGAAATCACAGATCTTTGAAGGAATGAAGGAAATTGCATCTACAAGAGTGTATTAAGTAACACAATTTATAACAGCATTTCTATGAGACAGTTTGATATAATTAAAGTTTCCTGAAACTTCTGTGGGCTCTGGTTGAGTTGAAATTGCGTATCACATACAGACAGCAGGAGAATTCTATAGAAACTGAATGTAAAAGCACTTAGTGTGTGAACCATTAATCAACGTTAATATATGTCATTAGGAAGTACTATATTCATGAATCTTTTATCCACAAAGAGAAAAAGGAGAAAATGATGAAACAATACTTAAAGTTTTCATGCACATATGTACATCCCAGAACAAAAGCCATTAAGGAAGGGTTGAGTTAGTAATTTACATTCTTGGCTGGTAGCTCTGAATAATATTTTTTTTTGCCTTTATAATTGTAGTATCATAAAACCCTATGGGTGCAAAAGCAGGCAAATGCATTACTACCCAGTTTCAAGGTAATAGTATATGTTTTTACTGTCCAAATCCTAGAAGGTTAGTTCTTGAAGGGACCCTAAAGACCACCCAGTCCACCCCTCTTATTTTATTTGTGAAGAAGCCAACCCCCAGAGATGCAAAGTGCCTCGCCCAAGGGGCACAGAACTAGGATTCAGATGTATATTTTCTGATTCCAAGTTACCAGATCACAGATTTGGAAATGGAAGGAACCCCTGAGGTCAACCAGCCCCACGCTTTTTGTATCTATTACACCACACCACTCTCTAAAGTCATCACTGATAGATAAACAATAAAAAAATCAGAGTAGTGAAAAAAAAATACTATAATCCTTTCCTACTGCACTTGAATGTCCAAGTAATTCTTACCTGGTGCCCCTGTGTACATGATGGAAAATACATTAATTGCAATGGTAGCAGCATAGAATAGTGGAAGTGCACGGAGACCATTGGGGACTGGGTCCTCCTGTGTAATAATGAGACACGTTGGAATGTCAAAATTCATCAGCTTCTATAAACAACATAGTCAAACTGAAACAAAAGAAAAGGCTGTAAGACATTCTCCCCAATTCCAGTTGTGATGGGAAGGGCTAGCCACTTTCCCAGATCTGGGGAGGGCGTGGCACATCGACACCATGGCACCAGCATATGGCAGTTTTCCCTAAAGAAATGGCCATTTAAAGGCCCAGGTATTTTGTACCAGCAGATGGGGTCAAAGCAGTGGCTCTTGCATTAGAATTGCAAGCAGGACATAACTGATAGGTACAGGTCCACCCAGGCCAGAGAGGAGAGTTCCTAATTTACAGCACATACTAATTTGGCTAATTACATTTTGTTGTGTTTAATGACTACTTCTTTTTTTTTTTTTAACTTTTTGGGGGAGGAGGGAGGGGCACTAGGCAATGGGGTTAAGTGACTTGCCCAGGGTCACACAGCTAGTAAATGTCAAGTGCCTGAGACCACATTTGAACTAAGGTCCTCCTGACTGCACCACCTAGGTGTCCCATGACTACTGAAAAATAAACAAAGCTATGATCCCCTAAAAAAAAAGGCCAAGAATACTTCTCCAAAACATGTACAGGGACAATTTTGCTTCTGCTGATGACCCTGATGATTCTTCTGAGATATAAGTTCCATTTAACTCCTCTTAGTAGTTAAATGGACTAGAAGTGGAGAGAGTGCCAGGTCTGGAGTCAGGAAGACCTGAATTCACATCTGGCCTCAGACACTTACTAGCTATGTGACCCTTGCCAAGTCATTTAACTCCGTTTGCCTCGGTTTCCTCATCTGTCAAATGAGCTAGAGGAGGAAATGGCAAACCACTCCAGCTTCTTTACCAAGAAAAGGCGGGGACTATTTTTAGTTTTGTATTTGTAATCTCAGCACCTAGCACAAGAACTTGAACACAGAAGGTGATTAATAAATTCTTTCTGGCTTGAATTGGATTAAGAATTACATTCCATATAAAACATTCCTCCTATTCATTAATTACATTCAGCATGAAAATTCACTCAGTCGTTTGTGCTATAAAATGACAATTTCAATACTAACTATTGAAGTGCAGTTTATTCAACAAAAAGCTCACTGATCTATGTTGCTTCCTAATAAAACTCTTAGAATAAGAGTGAGAAACCAAACCTCAGCCCCTTGTTTATCTGCTTACCTCCAATTCTTCTAAAACATTTAACAATCTAACCTTAAGTGGTTGATACTGAATTAAAATCACTCATAAAATGGAAATTCTATCATGGATTTCTGGATAAGACTGCTAGATAAGCCACTAAAGAAAACAATGCCATTCTCCAGGGAGAACATAGGTCATGGTCTTCACCAGGGATAACCTCTCCAGAGCATCCTTCAGCCTAGTTTTTAAGGCATCATGAAGATCCTTTACCAGTAAAATTAAAAGATATCCCTATATTAATTTATATTAATAGTCTCTGAGCATGTTTTTATTTAAATTTCAAGGTGTTCTTTCCAATAGACACTCCCTTCATCTCAGGATCAGAGACTGAGTTGGAAAGGACCTTGAAGGTCATTTAGTCCCACCCCTTCATTTCCTAGATAAGGAAATGGAGGCTATCGCTCTTGCTATCGCTCTTGCTCTCACTCTCTATGCAGAGAGCCAGAATTTTAACCCAGGCCAACTACTTTCAAATCTGGCACTTTTCCTACTACATCATACTGCTCACTCTCTCCTTGCCCCATCGTTGTTTTCCTCTCAAATCATCAGTTTGTCAAGGCTGCTGAATCATAAGCAATGTGGAAATAACCTGGGTTTAAAGGAAACTCCAGGAGTGTTTCAATGCAAAGCTACACAAATTCCAAATCCTGACAAAATCTCATCTACGACAAATTTAAATTTCAGCAAAGAACTTTTTTACTCTTGGGAAGTCTTTGTAATATCAAAGGCATTGATTAATACCTAAATTACAAGACAAACAGAGTATTCCTGTTGACTTTAGGGAGATGTGTGTGTGTGGAAAGTAGGGGGCAAAGGGTGGGGTGAAATGTCCCATCCTTCAACAATTAATTTCCTTCAAATTTCCTTTCTTGCTCCTTAAAAGAAAGTAGGGTTCTCCCTCCCAGAGGGATATGTTATAGAATGTAAAAATTGTTCTGCTTCCATTCCCTCCCAATGTTACTTGCGTTGAAAGACTGTCAAAATAGTCAGACTATATAATGAGGATATCAACCCTGCTTACCTTTTTTAGGATGAAAATTCTGATCAGCACAAACAGCACGCCAGACATGAAACCAGACAACAGTGGAGATATAAACCAAGAAGCAACTGAATAATTAAAAAAAAAACAAACACAACATCTAATAAATGTTAATATTCTACAAAATTATGGATGAGTTTGTATAATATAATGATAACTGACACATTACACATAAAAAGATTCTTTGAATTATTTTACAATTCCATCAAAACATATTTTTAAAGGATGTGTTGTAGTTAGCAAAAGACAAAGACATTTATAACTTTTTCCTAATTAAGGACAAAAACATTTCTTTTGTCTTTCCTAATTTCTTTTTTGAAAACCAAATAATTTTTCCTACATACATTTTATTTTAGTTTTGCAAATAGTTAAAAAATTATCAGGCCCACACAAACTTTGATCCCCCAAATTTACAAAAGTCATACTGATACTAGGGGCCAGCTTAAGCTATATTTTGTAATAAAGCCTCAGCATCAGTTTCTCACACATATACAGCTAACATTTATACAAATACACACAAAGTTACACAAAAATATAGACATCATGGGTACACAGTCATATCACTTCCTCCTCTAATCTTCTTGTCTTAGGAAGCTGATTTTAGAATGCTCATTGGATTCCCTTTCTCCTTCCTCCCTCTATATTACAGAGACAGAGTACAATGTCGTAGCTATACCAATTCCTAGGCTGAACAACCCCCAAATTGGTCTCTGTGGACGGACAGCTTCCAAACGGTTATTTAGCCTTTTGACATCCATGAGGCTATGCTAATATTTCACTACTCTCAGGGAAGAACAACTTCAAGTAACCACCAGGGACACCCCTGGAGGTTTGGGTCACTGCTGGTAAGGCCAGGTATTCAGCTCGTTCAAGACCTTCTCAGGTCACACTGGTCTTGACCAACAATGATCAACTAATGGGGAGACTGAGGGAGGGGGAAGAGAGGGAAGAGATCAGAATGACACCGTGTCTCTGCAGAATTCCTGGGAATGATCTGGGGCTAATGTGTGCTTTATAAGGGATGGGGGAGAGAGGTGGAGTATTTATGGGGTTGCATTTATTTAATTGACTGCTGATAGCCAAAAATATCTGGTAGTATGCCAGGATTTCCTAGCACTTCCATCCACCTCCTTACTGCCTTGTTCCTCCTCAAGACCACGGCATTAGATAAAATGTATGGTGGCTATGAAGGTGCTAACATGGGGAGAGCCAGTGTGTTTCCCTTGGGTGAAATCCAGGCCAGAGAGATATCCAATTGAATAGATGATATTACAAATTCTATGAGTTCAATATCGTTAGCTCAATGTGAGGTTCTCCCATTGCCACAAACTACATTTCCTATTAATTTATAGCATTTTTCCTAAGGGCTTACTAGCTGGTCTTGGTCATTTTGGTCACACTCTAATTCTGTTTCTCCTGGGAACAACAGACACTGATTTTTTTAAGGCTGAATGATTAATGGATATGTAAAAGGAATGATGATTTTTAAAAAAACAAACTTTTAACATATAACATTTCACAATCTCCATTACGTTATGTTTCAAACACAAAACAGCAATTTAAGGAAATAATATCACATACACATGACTCACAAATAAGCAAAATATGACAAAAAAATGTTCAGAATTTAGAAAAAGGGGGAGACTTCCCTTTGTAAAACTTTTTCTCATTGACAAAGATTTTCTCAACTTATCCCTACATATGAAAGGAAGTGACAATTACCAATCTTGACAAGCTCCATCCACTGTACGCCTTTTGTACCAATTGCAACAAGTGAGAATCCTATGGTGGAACCCACAATGCAATGGGTTCCTGAGATTGGAAGTCTCAAGAATGATGCTATCAGCTGCCAAACAGCAGAACCTAGAAGTTGAAAGATAAAAAGAAAAAAAATCAGATGAAGAGCATCTAGTAAAGGCCTTAACAATAACTCCTTGGGTTAGTCTTTCTATGGAAGGGTGTTTTTTTTTTCATACAATGTTACATCTAGATTAAAAAACATCTTAATATGTTTAGTCAGAAGACGTGTAGAATCTCAGCTTTTGATGCTATCAACCCCTAACTTCTGCAGATTTATAACTGATGGTGGTGATGATGAACATGTGCTGTCATGTAGCTGGTCAAAACCAAGCGAGGGATTAGACTCTAAAAAGAAAACAATAAAGATAATACCTACGCTGCAAGAGTTCACGATTCTTTAATCATTTCTTGTTTACACACTAGGGAGCTCAAGACAGACCTGGCTCATAGACTAATCAGCTGTGTCACACCCAGCTTCTTGGGGTCTCAGTTTCCCCATCTCTAAAATAAGGGGGTAGAACTAGATGATGTCTATGGGCCTTTTCTGTTCTCACATGCCTATGTGGGCAGGCCAGTTCAGACCATAACAGAACACACCAACATTACTTGTTGGCATCTGGCCACCCAAAGGGGGCTGTTGGGATACTACTGACATTTTACCTCTATCTCACAGGTATTCACTTCCAGGTAGAGTCTGTCATGCTGGACCTCCCTTATGCCTTTTATTGCTCAGGAATTAAAATAATACCTGAGTTTAGCACACTGTCATTTCACCTTTATGTCACTGTCTTTTCTAGGCTTGATATTTTTCTAGGCTCTAGTCCTCTTCAGAACACATTTTCATAAGCAGATCAAATTTTGCAGTGAGTATTAAAAGCCTCAGCTGGGAGAGATCACTTTCAGAAACAGTTGTTGAAATGCTCATACTAAACTGTAAGGGAACAAAGGTTTTGGCTGATAAGCAGAGTAGGTTATTAATCCCAAATGTTAATTCTGGAGAAAAGTTTAGTTGCTTGGCAGCAGCAGCAGCAGCAGTACTTTTAGGCAGACTCCTGGCATCTTATTCAAACAAAATCTTACAAGTCACAGGAAAACAGATGTCTGTATGGTCTCGGCAATTTTAACCACCTATTTGTGAAGCAACAGAGACAGCTGCTTCAATCAGTAAGTGCTGTGCATGCTGACTTTTGATGCAACGAAGGCTAGAGAATGACATGTGCATGCACCGAAATGTGTGAAGGAGGGATAAGGCCAGTGGTTACTAGTGTGTTTGCCAGCTGCCAGACTGGAAACAAACTCCATGGCAGCACCCAGGCTCGCACACTGTGGGCCCTGAGACTTCCAAATCTGGCAGTGGCTCACTAGGAAAAATTTAAGATTAGAGAGAACACTCCATGATATGAAATCATAGCTTTTAAAAAAAGAATTCTTCAATTTACATTTAAAAATTTTTAATAGTCTAATGAGGTAACAGAACATTAAAAACTCACCCAACTGAATTCAGACCTTGCAGTTTTCCTTCATGAAAGTTGCTACTGCTTTCTCTGGCTGACCATATAATAATGTCCTGGAGCAGGAAAGCTTATGGGGAAAGGCAGGGGATACAGGGACTGACTGGAGGAGGAAGGAAGGGAGGGAGGATGGAAGGGAATGATGAGGCATCTGAAAGGACAGGAAGAGCGAGAGAGGAAACTTGGGAGAAAAAAAAAATGAAAGACCCTGGATTAATGTTGGGATTTGATTAGGGACAATGGGGAAGAATTTCAGGGAGGAGGCAGAGAGAAGGATTAGGTTTCGGACTGAGGAAAAGAACTGTGAGAAATGAAAAGGAGTACTGTAACACAGGATGGAGGAGTCTTACACAGATAAAAGGATGAAATTACACTTAGGAATGGGAGTATAAGACAAAAGAATAGGAGGGTGGGGGAAAAGACAGAAATCCTGGAACAAAAAGGTTTTTGGGACGAAGAAAAGGAATGGTAGAGGCAAGGTCCAGGGCGGACACGGAAGAGGTGAGAGAGAGAGAGAGAGAGAGAGAGAGAGAGAGAGAGCGTGCAGATGCTACAAAGAAGGGAGAGGTATTTTCAGAGTTGAAGGGCTGCTGGGGGGAGGAGGAACGTGGTGAGGGCAGTGCAGGGCAGTGGTTTCTTCATGCAGCTGCAGGGGCTGCCATGAGAAGATGCTCAGCATGCCCCAGAGGCTGGGGGCCCCAGGTGGCTTCAGCAAACACTGGTAGTCTAAAATGAGGCAACTAGCAGAAGGAGTCAAAGCAAAGGGGCAGAGGCAATGAGCAAGCCAGGTGGGGGCTGTGCTGGAGTGAAAGGAAAACAAAACAAGACCCCAAACCCACTTCGGGAAATTCAGTTGTTACTCACAACTCATCCTGCCCAAGCGAATCAACCTGACTCCAGCACAGCATCATGAGGATGCATGGAGACACAGAGCTTGCAGGGAGAGCTTCTAAAGTAAAAGAGCCAAGAAGGGGGAAGAAAAAAAGAGGGAACCAAGGGGAGAAGGGAAAAAGAAGAAATGGATGTTGAATTTAGAAGACGAGGACCGGGAGAACCCAGGCACCTGGACAGATGAGCTTTGGTTTTGGCAAGGGCAGGAATAACCACAAAACCAAAAACACCTTAAAAGTTTATAGAGCACCCAGGTCCAAAGGATTCCAATTATTTCAGTGGATAAAAACCTCATTAAATCTCATCCCTTCCCCCTAAAGTGGGAAGAGTGCTTTGCCGTTTGTCTAAGTGTAAACCAAGAAGACGAAGCCAAAGCAAACAAGGCCAACTATCAAGGAAGAAAAAAGGGAAAGTCCCGAGTTAGGTGATCAGCTCCAGTGGTGGCTGAGGTGATGGGCATCCAGGAGCCTCTCGCTTTCCTGGCACGGAGCCAGTGAGTGGGAGGGGACACTCTGGCCAGGGAACGGCACCACAAAGGGTGAAGCCACACTTCTAGTACCGCCTAGAGTCGTACTTTCTGGAAAACCTTTCTGCTTAAACATCACCTTTCCTGTCAACTAAAAGGAACAAGGGGACTGATGGGAAGAGAGTCTATTCAGCGGATGCTGTGCTTTTTTTTTCTCTCCTTCTTACCCTGTGCCCAAACACCTCTCTTCCATCTTACCCAAATCAGCCTGATGGGAAATTTTAATTATAGCTAGGTTTGAATAAGTCTGAATACGTTATCACTGCTATTAAGACAAAAGTGAATTCTACAAATCCCTCTCATTTCCCTAAAAGAAACTTTGATAATGTTCAACAAATTGTGATCAACGATTTCAATGAAGAGGAGGTCAAAATTCCATAGCAAGTGTTAGAATTAACATGCCTTATGCTTTGGTTGAAAAGCAGACACTTTCTAGAGTAGAAACTAGAGTTAGTAGCATACACTGTTCATTAGATGCCTCAAGCAAGTTGTTTCAAAATATCCTTGCTGAAATAAGCTACCCTGAATTAGGCATGACAATCCTTTTGCTACCTGTATTTAAGCAAAGTCGGTGGTAAAAGAAACAATCGCAGGGCTGGCAAATTCTCACTGTAGCCCACTGCGGTGCATTAGTGACTCCCCAGAAGTGCTACTGTACCCTCCCCACTAAAGGAGTCAAGTCAGAGCTGATAGGGTTTCTGTTCGGTTCTCTGTCTGGTCCTCTCCTCCCACCTACCCTGCCTGTATGGATCATCTGTCTGCTGCCATTTCTACCTGGGGAAGAATGTCAGCTATACTCAACACATCTCTGTCTTGGAATTTTATTTTGAGGTATGGCAAATAACTGAATCAGGGGCTTTTAACATGTTTGTGAACTTGGATGGGGGAAAATACCTCTTTATTTCAATCTCAACTGGATAACCATTTCAGTATCATTGGTTTCCTTTGTAATCCTATTTTTTAATTTTATACATTTAAAAACATTATTTTGAGAAGGGCTTGACCAGACTGTCAAAGGGATCCATGACACAAAAAACAGTTAAGAAGCTGTGGACTAAATGATCTCTAAAGTCCTTTCTGCTTCTAACAGTCTATAAATCTCAGATCATAGCAGTATCCCCAAATCCAGATTCCTGCAGGGCTGTGGATACATTTTAGGGGTTGGAAAAAATGCACTTGGACACTGGCATTTCAGGTCATTAGCATATTCCATTTAGCTCTGAACACACTTCCCTTTATTTGAGGCAAGTCTAAGACTACCAAGAAAAGCTTATTACTGTGACTAGGTGACAAAAACACCTCCTAGCCAGAAACCAAACCATAGAGACCTCCCCTGGGTAGTGAGTTGACAGTCAAAACAAGAGCCAACAAGGGATTAAGATGAGTGCGGAAAGCCAGAATTTAGTTAAAACATATGCAATTAATTAAGACGCTGTCTTACTGCTCCAGAATTAATTTGAAATATAAAAATTAAATTGTTCAAAACCATTATTGATTTTTTAAACAGTTAATTGATTATTGAAAGAAAATTTAAATATGTTAATGTATGCTAAGTGAACTTCATAAGTAAGCCTTCAAAATGAGTGATTACAGATAAATTTTACTTCTTAGTGATCTAGTAATGCATTATAATTATAAATAATCCACAAGGTTATTCTACTACTGCAGGCTTTTCCCGATTATGAAAAACACCAAAAACTTATTTTCAGTGGTGTTTTTAACCTTGATGACAACTTGAAGAAATGAATTTCTGCTTGAAATAAAGACTACCCCCCCAAAAAAAGTATAAACCTAGGAAGAAAAATAATCAGGTTTTAAGGGCCAAGCCCCACCCTTTTTCTAAACCAAAGCAAAATCACTTTTATAGATACACAACAAAAGAGATCTACAAGGAACTAGGCCAGTGGATAATTTTTCCATCAGTTATAAGAATACATCCACTTACCAACCATGGCGCTAACTTCTCCGGCCATCAGCGTTTCCACTGTCTCATTGTATAGGTTCACGTCAATGATACCTTTTCGAATAGTCTCTCCCACTTTTGCTCCTAACAATACTGATCCCGTCGTTTCAAATATTGATGCCAAAATGCAAGCCTGCTTCAAGGTCACCACGCCAGAGCCCACAGCTGTGCCAAAGGAATTGGCTACATCATTTGCACCAACAGAAAATGCCAAGATAAAGGCTATGATAAAGCCCAAAATGACCATCCACAAGTAATCTTCCATAGCCATTTTTGCAAGTGGACCGCAGGAGTTTTTCTTTTGTAGAAATACTTAAATAAACCAAGCTTGAGGTTTTGTAAAAACCTTGTAAGGTAGAGTTCTTGTAAACAGAGATTTTGCTCTGGAACGTGCTGGATAGTGTTAGAGCCTGAGCAAACTGCTAACTGCTGGTTCTCATACTATTGTCTGTACAGTTTGTTTGGTTGTGTTCAGTCAGCAGTAAAACACATTCCATATTTTTCTCTGAGACTAGAAACGCTGTGATATCCCCTCCTGTAACAGAAAGAGAAGCAAAGAAATCAATTACCCTAAGCAACCTATAACAATCCGTTCTTTCAGAAATAAATGATTTAAGCCTACTAATGGGATCTAACTTGGCATGTGACACTTTGAACCATAGTGCAATTGAAGTAAGATTTTAATTAGGTCAATGCAAAAAGAAACACTTGCTTCTAATGGGATCATCGATGTCTAGATCATACCTTACTACCATATTTTGGAATAGGACGCTTTAATGTGTCAATGTTTTAATTTCATAACGATAAAAAATAAACATAACTTATCATTGTTCTGAGAAATGAGTGACTATCTCCAAAGGACAAAAAGATGGATAATTTAGGACCTCAAAATAAATATAATTTTCTAGAATGAGAATTCTCAACCATTTTTCCAGAGCAGAGATGGGCAATCTATAGTGGGGAGGGCCAAATGTGGACCTCTGACAACAAGCAATAAAACTTTATTTTAAAATGTAAAAACCATTCTTGGGCTCATGGGCCTTACAAAAAACAGACAGCAGGCCTGCCAATGCCTGTTTAAGAGTATCACTAATCACTACCTGTTAACATATATATGTATATGAGATGTGACTTGTGCTATCAGTTTCATTACATTTTAATTCTTCCGTGTAGATAGACTGACATAAATATTTTTCACTAAGCAGTGGGAACATAAGGAAAAGAGTACGTCTTAAAATTAAATAAATTACTATAATCATAAACAGTAACTTATTTACTCACCCATCTATTTATCCATTCATTCATTTATTTATTTGTTACTAGATGGACAAGGACCAGATTTCATTATTTGGGCAGTATGTTATAGTGGGTTGTGAAGAAGAGCATTTTGATAAATGGTCAAAGGATGTGAACAGATACTTTTCAAAGGAAGAAATTAAAGCTATCTGTTGCCACATGAAAAATACTCTATATCACTACTGAATAGAGAAATGCAAATTAAAACAACTCTGAGGTACCATCTCACACCTGTGAGATTGACTAATATGACAGAAAAGAAAAACAATAAATGTAGGAGGGGATGTATAAAAATTGGGACACTAATGGACTGTTGGTGAAGTTGTGAACTGGTCCAACCATTCCAGAGACCAATTTGGAACTATGCACAAAGAGCTATAAAACTGTGCGTATCCTTTGACCCAGCAATAACTCTACTACATCTGTATCCCAAAGAGATCAAAGAAAAAAGGAAAAGGGCCTAGGTGAACAAAAATATTTACAGCAGCCTCTTCTGTGGTGGCAATGAACTGGAAATTGAGGGGATGTCCATCAACTGGGGAATGGCTGAACAAGTTGTGGTATATGATTGTGATGTAATACTATTGTGCTATAAGAAATGATGAGCAGGATGCTTTCAGAAAAACTTGGGAAGACTTACATGAATTGATGAAACATGAAGCAAGCAAGAAAACATTGTACACATTAACAGCAATATTGTATGACGATCAGCTGCGAATGACTTAGTTATTCTCAACAATACAACGATCCAAGACAATTCTGAAAGACTCATGATGAGAAATGCTATCCATCTCCAAAGAAAACTGGAGTCTGAATGCAGATCGAAGCATATTTCTTTCTTTTTCTTTTTTGGTCTGTGATCTCTTTTGCAACATGGCTAACATGGAAATATGTTTAATGCGACAGTACATGTATAGTCTATCTCAAAGTGCCTACTTTTTCAAGGACAGGGGAGAAGAAGGATGAAGGGAACACGGAACTCACAAAATTTTTTAAATGAATGTTAAAAATTGCTTTTACACGTTTGAGAAAAAAATAAAAACATTCTTAAAAAAAAATAAGAGTGTTGTAGTCTAGAGCACTGTAATTGCAGGGAGAAGACTCAGAGTTGAGTCCCAGATTACTGTGGGCCACCTGTGCAACTATGGGCAAATCATTAAGGCTTTGTAAATGGAAGTTTCATCATCCGCACAATGGGGATGATAATATATACCTTACCTATCTCACATTGTTTCTGTGAAGATCAAACGAAATAATGTGTATGAGAACACTTTGTAAATGTTAAAACTCTATACAAATGCAAGTTTTTACAATCTGTGTATTCTCTGTATCGTATTTAGCAAAAAGCCATATATGTCCTGAATATCATGTAATAATGGTGGTGATGATGATAGTTAGAATTTACATAGTGCTTCAAGGTTTGCAAACAGCTTTAAAAACATTATTTCATTTTTTATCTTCACAACAAACCTGAGAGGCAGGTGATGAGGACACCAAGGCAGAGAGAAGTTGACTGATAAATAAATATACGTTCATTCACTTATCTGGTAAGCATTTGTTGAGTATCTACTCCATGCAAGGCTCTGCGCTTGGGACTATGGGGACATAAAGAAGTAGAAGACGGATATAATGCTATTGTTGATAAATATTTTCATTCCAATTCTGCAGGTCCTAAAATTTTCCTAATATTTTACAGAATCTTAAAGTAGGCAGGAGCCTCAGAGGCCAACCCATATTCCTTCTAGAACACGTGAACAAATCTGGCCAGGCAGCCTTTACTAGGACACCTGGTGAAGAGAAAACCAATACTTACTTCCTGACGTAGTCTACTCCACTTTGGGAGAATGCTAGTTACAAAGGGTTTTCTTATTAGCAAACCAAAAGGCTACTTACATGCAATCGTTTCTCCTAGTTTTGACCACTGTGAACAAAGGAAAAAGGCTAATCCCCATCTCCCACAAGATGGGCTTCAGATATTAAAATATATTCAAAGTTGGTTATTATGTGCCTAGTAAGCCTCCCTTAGGAGGCAGCTAGATGGCTCAGTGGATAGAGTGCTGGGCCTGCAGTCAAGAAGACCTGAATACAACTCTGGCTCAAACACTTTCTAGCTGTGTGACCCTGGGCAAGTCACTTAATCTCTGTTTGCCTCAATCCACTGGAGAAGGAAATGGTAAACCATTCTGGTATCTTTGCCAAGAACACCTCATGGACAGTATGGTCCACGGGGTCATGAAGAGTCGGACACAATAACAACAACTCTTTTCTAGGCTAAATATTCCTGTTACTTTCAAGTGAATCTTACCCATGTCATTTCTAAAATGTATCTTTTAGACCTGAACATATTCCAAATGTACTCTAACAGCAGAACACAGTGGTATTGATCACTTCCCTGGCTCTAGACACTCTCTTGGTGAAACCAGAGATAAACATTCGATTTTTTGGCTACCATAGCAACCTGCTGAACTTCTCATCCACTGAAATCCCTACAGGGTTTTTTCAGGCAAACTGCTATCTAGTTATGCCTTCTCCATATTGTACTTATTAAATTGATTTTTTGAACCCAAACTTTATATTTATCCCTATTAAATTTCATTTTATTGGAGTCTGCTCAATGTTCTAGCCTGTAGAAATGTTTTTGGATATAATTTAATAATCCAATGTGTTGGGTTTAACCTTCCCAGCACTGTGTTACCTGCAGGTCTGATAACTGTGACACCTGTACCTTTATACAGGTCACTAGTCAAATGATAAATACCATGACATTAGGGACTATGTCTTATTTACACTCAATATCTCATCCGGGGCCCAGTCAGGGCTTCAAATATAACAGATATCTACTCAACAAACATCAGGCACCTCTCATGAGGAAGGCAGGCAGACCCTAAGGGGAGAAGTTATCAGATAACATGGATGAAATTCACACACGGTGGAAAAGTGCAGATGAGCTATGATCTTAGTCCTTGAAGAACTGTGGAATTATCTAATCATGGCTTAGGGTATTCCTCCTTTGGGAAACATTTATGGGTAAAAATGGCTGGGTCAGAAAGTTTCCTTCCCTACCTTTGCTCTTTCTTCAGACCACCAGCAGCAGGGCAGGGCCTTGGCTCGCTGTGTACCTCTTCCAGAAGACTGGCCCGCTGGTGATGCCAGGGCTAATGACTACCACCACCACTACCTACCACCCCCAACATTCACAAATGAGTGCCCATGTACCCCTCCCCCCACAGCAGCAAGAAAGATTCTGTAATACCTGACATTCATATAAAGCTCATTGATGCGAGTCTGATGAGATACTTGACATACACGGTCTCATTTGACTGCCAACCTTTGCTGCTCTACAGGTTTTTCACCATAGCCCACCCAGGCCAAATACTACTCATGCTCATTCTCATCCTCTAGGACTGGGTAGAAAACGCATCCAAGTTATTTTTCAAGGATCTAGAGCTGAATTTCTATTGCTCTCATTTTTAGGTAGAAGTAAAAAGATAATAGCGCTTCATTTTATCTTCTCTGTTGTGTATGACGCAGGCTATTTTTCCCTCTGGCTATGGATGGGTGAGCCAGAATATCTTTCTCCTAGACAAGAAGACTTCTTCCTTGCTTTCCTTGCCTGATCTCATCTAAAAAAAAAAAACATAGAAGATTTCTTCTTGTCAAAAGTAGCTAGCTAATACAGAAGGTACTGTTTTATGTACTTTACGATTCAGGATACTGATCTGAATATATTGAGTTTGAATTAACTGCACTCTTCATTATTTCACTAAAAATGTCAATTTCAAGTACTTGAAAATACAGATAGTCCTGAAACCTGACTTAAAACATCTTCAAATACCACATATACATATGTAGTATGTACGCAGTTTTGTTTTAAATCACAAGCAATGCCAGGGATGGCAGGTCTACAGAGAAGGCCACAATCCTGGAGAAGAGCAGAAGAACTGAAAAATAGACCAGAGGGAGAGCCAAGAATGAAATACAGTTAAGGGAGTGACAGGGTGATAGGAGAATGCTACCTCTGACACGCAATTGCCTCATCTATAAAATGGAGATAATATATAGTACTCATCTCAAAGGGTGCGGCTCAAAGGAGGTGATGTATAAAAAATCCTTTGTAAACCTGAAAGCACTATATAAAATCGGTTATTATTATTATTACTACTGGAGAACAGAATCAGAACTAAGGCTGAAGCTCTGAACAGTGGGGATGAAAGACATCCACAAAGGATACCCAAAGGA